GGCCGATTTGTCCAATAGCCCTTAAACCCACGTAGAATCTTTTTTTTTTCTTTGAGGGGATAGGAAATTAAAATTTCAGTTATAAAACTAAATACAATTTAAAACTCAGTTATCAGTCACACTAGGCATATTTCAAATGCCCAATAGCCATGTGAAAAGCAGAGACCTCCTTCATTGTGGAAAGTTGTATTGGAGAATGCTGCTCTAAAGAGAAGGGTTGATGGGGTCCCTTTCGAAGCATTGATGCCTCAAATGTATGAAAAATTAGTGTGGCAGAGGAAGATCTATCTCATGCTTAAGCCAATCAGAGTAGTGAGAGCAACATGACTTCTTTAGTTTCCCTTGCCAGGGATCTCAGGGATGTTTGAATGAATTTTGCACATTTCACTTGTTTTTTTCCCCTGCTTCTTTCATTCATTTCATCCCTCCTACCTGATCTAGTCTGAGAAAGAGATGAGGGACACACACAGTTTAGAGTGAAGGAGATTTTGATACTTTACAGAAGCCTGTGAGGATTCTAGGAACCCACGGAAAATAGTATCAAACAGAAACTACTAGGCGTGTTCAAATGTATTAAATAAAAGAAAAATGTTGATTGTTTAAAGACTGAGTCGGGGGGGGGAAACCCCTATGGACCAGAAACCTGGACTTCAGCTTCAAACAAAAGAGAATAAAAAATGAAGACCTATTACATTTTAACTGAAGCTTTGCCTCTGAGACAGATGCGGCTAAACATTAACTAGGGCACTGTTGTGAATTACAGATTAAGACGCAATTATGTCTCATATCTCCCCCTTTCAGGGTGAAAGCTTGCTGATGTTGGGGCTCAGATAAGGGGACACACCATGTGACAGGTGGCATCTATTGTGCAAGCATGAAACTTCTGGTGCTCTTGGAGCCTGTGTTCCCAGGAGGCAAGACCCAAACGTCTTACTTGCTTGCATACCTCCTGCGTAGTCATGCTTCCACGAGCATTTAATAAGCACAATGTGATGAACACAGATGGAAAACCACACCTGAAACAAACCTCTAGTAACAATCGATGCTTGAGTGAGTGGATGGTGAAAGGATTGGATCCAGCTCCATAAACCCCATTAGCTGACATTTTGAACAGTTTTTGCAAACCTCCTGCACCCATGAGGTGGGGTTCTTGGTGTTTCCAAAAGGCTCTTTGCTGTTCTGCTCAATAAATGTCACAAGGTAAAGCTGGAAATACCACCACAATGGCATTTTAAGGGACATGTTCTCGGTGGCTTTTTTCAGAAACTCGAAGCATCTAACCCCTATCTGAAAAGTGTCTGGAGATGAGATGTAACTAAATACTTGTCCAGGAGTCCTTCAGTGGAAGTACATATATTGAAGGCTATGTGCAAATATATCTCAGAACAAAGGTTCCCAATTGCTGGTCTGTTGAGTATTTGCATCAGAATTACCCAAAATGTATGTTAAAAATACACATTCCAGGATGCCACCCCAGCCTCAAGGAATCTGATCTGCAGGAAGGTGGTGCCCAGGGATCTGAATTTTTAACATTTGCCTTGGGTGACTGCGATACACCCTCCTCAGGTTGGGATGGTCTAGCTGGAAATGCCTATTTCACTGGGGTGTGGCTAGCTTACAGCTTTCTCTTAACATCTTTTACAAACCTGTTTTATGTTCCCCACATCCCTTCTTGTCAAAGGAATGGAATGTAGGATGGGATTACCTATTATTATTTCACAATTAAGGATAATGATGTAAAACGTCCTAGGTGAGTCAGTGATGCCGCCAGGAATCTCGACTTCACTAGTTAGCTGTTTCCTAGTCAGTTTGTTGTTTCTGTTAACAAGCCCACTGTTTACTTGCCTTTAGTAGGCAGGCTTCTCTATGGGTCAAAGATGTGAACTCACAAAATAATGAAAAGTATGGTGCCTGGCTCCTCACCCCTGCACCTCTGGTCGAAACCAAACCAATTGCAGCCAAACCCCTGAGATTCCAGTCTAGGCAAAAACTGGGGCTGGCAGGTCTGAGCCAGTCCCAGTCTGGAGAATTTCCCTAAAGATTCATTTTCTATAGGGCACAGATTGGATTTGCATTTAGTTCCCAAGAGTCCTTGGAAGTCTTGGATCAAAGTCATTCTAAGTCTTCCCTGGGTCTGTGGTCTTTTGTTCAGAGTGGTCTCGGGGAGATCTGGTCTCACTCTGAATCTTCCCTGGTCTGATAAAGGGCTGTGAGCTTCTGGAAGTAAAAGCACCGCCAAAAGTGCTACTGCCAATACTGTTATCATTATTTATTGAGTGCTGCCCCCTAGAGGATTAAAAATGGTTTGGCTGCTGGGAGTCCCCAGGGCTCTGAACCAAAGACTCACCCTCTCTACCCAATTGCAGGAAATCAGGACTTCACTCAAGTGGACTGATGAGAAGTCTTGCAACAGTCACACAGAAGACTCCTGGGAACTAAGCTAGCTTCGTCTTAATGACATCTCTGAAAAATTCAAATCCATAATGCTGAAACTCAGGTCCAGGAACAGAACACTGAAACTGACCCTTCTCCCTACCAGACCAAAAACCCTCGAAGCAGCCTGGTTAAGGACCCTCAACCCTGAGACCCCAAGAGTCCAAGTCCAGAGTTTCATTCCTATGGTTTCCCAGTGGGCTTCAGTTTACTTTTTCTTTCTGTCTCCCCTTCACATAAATTCTGGCTATAATGTTCTTGGAAACAGAAATCTTTCATATTGAGCACTTGCTAGATTGGCTTGGCATGCCTGGTGAGTGGTGGGGGGAGGTGACACTAATCGACTCTATTCATTCAGCCTCTGTCACTGTAGATAATGCTATTTGTCCTTAGGTTAGCATCTTGGCAATGATATAAGCTGAGATCTCCAATGAAGGTTCAAAATTCAGACTGCCTTGTACACTCCATTAAGTATCAGTGAGCAGTGGTCTTTCTTTCCAACTGACTTTTTTAAAAAGTAAATCTGGAGCTTTTAATAATGTGGTTGTGCTCCCAAGTCCAGGAAGGAAAGAGGGAGAGAAGGAAGGGAGAGAGAGAGAGAGAAAATGAAAGGAATGAAAGGTAGTCCTCAGGCCAGCTAGGGGATAGGCTCACTGGAAGACTCACCAGGCCTCAGTTAAATGCCCTTTCAAACCCGGCATCAGAGATGAACAGTGCGATATGCAGCCTGTGGATTTACACAGCACTGGAAAATCCTTCCACGGCTTGGTTCGACTGTTGGCAAATCACTTCTGATTCAATTTTGTTTTGGTTATCTCAGTGTAAATAACAGTTAAGTGGGAGTTTCAGATTTTTCAAACACTAAAAGTGATAAACAAAGCTAATGGCAAGTCTAGATAAGAGGGAAAGCCACCCAGAAGAATCCACAAGTACAAGCAAAGAAATACATGGGATAGTGAGATGTGTGTGTGTTTCTTGTCACCGAAACTTTATTTTTCTTAATCTGCAGAGTGGCAGGAAAGGTATACGCAGAGTGTTATTTAGACTTGTTCCTGTTAGAGGCTTTCTGATAATGCAGTAATAGGTGCCTAGTGAAGCAAGACAGTTTGGAAGCCACAAAGCCATCCCCAGAAACAAAGATACAAGTGTTTTCCCAACTGTTAGCTCGCAGCTCAATCTAAACAGTTTTCACGCCTCCATTTAAAAATAGTTGGCGTAATGCTGTTTTCTTTCTCTCAGCGTCGTGACCACATTTCCATGGGGAAAATATGAATAGAAGTAGCTACAGTAGCATTTCGAGAAGTCTTCTGGTACCTGGACTTTTTTGGAGGGTTGGGGGAATCCGATTCTATTACCTGAAAATTTTCTTTTAAGAAAGTGTCTTCTTTTCTGATAGTTACAAGTTAGGGGCGCTGGGAAAACTAAATCCTCATCCAGAGAGGAGAGGAGTTATGTTTGGGACAAAACAAAGGATCTGAGTAGTAAACACCACGGAGTGTTTGGGGTTTTATTCAGCCAGGGCTGACCGTGTGTGTCGCCGCCACGCATTGCTGCCCGTGTGAACGCATGGCTGAGCTGCCGCCTGGCTCCCTACTCCAAACACCGTACGCCACCCAACTCTTCTTGTAACGCCATTGCGCGTGGCATTGTGTTGGGTTCTACGTGTGTGGCACCGGAGTCAGGGGATTGGGGAAGAAAAAGAATTTCCTCCGTTTCCCGCGGAGTCTTCCTAGGGCGGGGGCGAAGCGGCCAAGGGCAGCGCGCCCTGGAGGTGCTCGGGGCGCTCCCTCTCCGGGGCATTACGCGCGGGCCGCCCGAGTAGCCCAGGCGCGAAGGTGCCCAGAGTGGGCGGGAGGGGCCGAGTGGGAGAGGGGCGGCTGGGCGGGAGCTGCCTGCCTTAACTTTGATCCGGCCGCGGCCGGGGGAAAAGCC